ACAAAGATATACACAGCTTCCTTAACACAAATCATCAACAGATATAACACTTGTTAATACATGAGAAACAAGTGTAAAACATGATTATCATAGCAACATGCATAGCTCCACGTAGTGGTCTTCAGCACTAAGCAAAATACATACAAACACGCATGATATCTAAGTGGATTATCACTTGTCATTTTGTCCACAATACATGCAAGCATTAACTTCAACAAGTTACAGCCTACTAACATCCACCACCACTAATATGCATACATAACACCAACATTAGCATACATAGTACAACAAAGAAAGACGGGGGAGTAAAAACAGTTCTCTTGCACTCAATTTGCGTATCGTACTTGCATAAACCTCCATCAGCCCTCAAACCAATCCAATTATCAGATTTAATGCAAAGGCACTTTTCACCCTCCCTCATCCCTTTTAGAACAGTTATCCTTGAAAAATTAATATACCAAACCAGATTCACTTGGCTTCAGCAAAGGTGACAACCTGCCCTGTTTGAGGAAAGATACGTATAGGACAGCAAGCACCATAATACATCAATTATCAACTTGCTTTTAAGGAGTCTAGGCTGCGCAGGAGACTAATCCATATCATCATCGAAATGACAACATTTAAGTATTCCTTTTTTTGCACTCTAGTTTTGGCTAGGTTGCATACCACTTCATTTGCATCCTTCGGTATGCGCTTGCTAATTTTTCAAGTCGTCTTTCATGGCATCAATGCTGAAGATTATGCTTCTCATCCTCCATGGGAACTGTGAAGGATTCAATAACCAGTTAACAGCGTTGGTCGAGTCACTTTCTACAATTAAGTAAATCTTGATGCCATGAAAATCACAAATGCCTCCTTCATCACCAATATTTTCGCTAGATTTGAGTCACCCATGTTGATTGATTTTGAAAGCATGTGCCCTTGTATCAATTTAAAATTCCTCTAATCCCCGATTGTGGTGAGTTAGCTCTACTTGCACCATGCACATTAAATTTGAATGAAATATTTATATAAAAAAATTATAATTAATACATTTTTAATTTGGTTAAAATAATAAATTAAATAATTTATTTTTTAAAATGATTTTAACTATCTTTAATTAGACTCTATAAGCATTCTTTAATCGGATCCAACTAAATATATCCATCCAAAACTCATCAATGCAGTAATCCAAAGCTTGCACTTGGAAGTTGCTTCTTCCTTGTAAATATATCCAACTAACTATATCCATTTGTCTAGGTCTAGATGTCAGCATGTTTGGTTGAGAAAGAGATGGCACATGTTTGGTGAGAATATATACTCGCTATATTTTGTTGGTAATGATATTTGTCCATAAAAAAAAAATAGTTAAGCAGATTTATGGACGTAACACCGATCAAACGACGATGGAATCAACTTTTGTAAAAGTGGAAAAATCTGTTGATAAGTAAAGTATATTTTGATAGTAATGTGTTTCGATTTAATTTGAAATACCAATCAAATTCATCGGTATCGATTCTCATATTCGTTGGTATAATTTCATCGAAAATAGGAAAAGACATTTTACGTAAAATGAAAGTGGTTAGTATTTTGATTTGTAATTGTTATTTCAATTGATTTGGAATTCTTTAGTCCAATAAATATGAAATAACAAGTTATAATTTAATAAAAACAAATTATATAATTATATTTAAAAGTATACAAACATATCATAAATAAATAATATAAATAATTTATACTTATTGTTCACAAATTCACCACGATCCTCTAATCACTTCTAGATGGGATTAAAAGGCTCAGAGAATGTCATTGGTTCGTCTATTATCTTTGATTACAATAATTGCAATAACAACATCACCAAATGAAATACACAATAGTGATCGCAATAATAATATCAATATTATCAAACCACAATTGCAAAAGTCAAGTCATCAAAACAAATACACAATAAATCACTGTCACCAATATTATAGAGAAAGAAAATGTACAAGAAAAGTACAAAATTGCTTCTGTTTTTTGTAATACTTCCTTTTCTTTCACCTAGTTTATATACATGTGAAAAGTATGAAAAATAACGGAAGCTTAAGAAAAACTTTTGTGGAAAGAAAATTTTTTCTTGTCTCTCACAATGAAATTTACAAAGTAAAAGGTTTATATACAGGGAAATGTAAAAGGAAGAAAAGTCTGTTACAAATGAGGGAAAAATTAGTAAAGACAATTAGTAACTAACTTATTATGGTACTAGGAGAAAACTGAATGCTTTTAACA